CTATAAAATGTTTATTAGAATAAATACCTAATGAGATGTACCATATCTAAGGAGAGAAATCCTGCATTATTCCTAAATTAGAGACTATATACATCATTGGACAAAAAATCTAACAAGTGAACTTCCATTAAATTATAGAACTTCTTGCATCTCCCTTTTAAAGGGGATAGATCAGTTAGGATTAGGTTTGGCTATGAGTAGTCTCAAAGCAACAGTGGCTTAGTAGTTTACATTCTCTCAATAGAAGTCTAGAGGTAGGTAATTCAGAGTTGGAACAGAGGCTTTATTTAGGCTTCAGCAACCCAGGCTCCGCCTAGCTTTTCATTTACGGCTTCTGTAGGGGATAGCCTTTAACTTCATGGTCTAAATTCTACTTCAGCCTTTATATCCATGTTGCAAGCAGCAGATGCATATGGCAGAAGAGAAGGGGGGGGATAAAGGGTGCATTAAGATTGATTCCCAGAAACTGCCATATGATGCTTTTGTTTATATTGCATTGGCAAAAATCTACTCCTGTTGTGAGCACACCTGACTGAAAGCCTTAGAAATGTAGCCTTAAAAAAAATTCTGAAAACTACTTCATGGCAGATTCTATTACCCTATATCATCAAAGATATAAAATAAGAGCATCTGAACTCTGGATCAGCAGCAAGATGGGTGATGTCTTTTATCCATTAGCTATCAGTGCTGCTTCTGATTCTGTAATAGATAAAATACATAGTAAACAGCATATTCTCATGTGAAACAATTCCAGATTTAAGTGGCATTGCATATGGCTGTGTCCTAGCATCCTTGTTTATCTTCATCCAATTACTTTGAAGAGTTATTAGGTCATTTAGAAACCTGCCTTCCATTGTAGCAAACAAGACAGATAATCTCTTTTCTGGTTTACATGACTTTGACAAAATCGTCTGAAGAAATAGTGACTCTAGTAAACTAGTTACTTGAAAGACAAGCTCAGCATTAATACCACTTTAATTCATCACTGTTTTAGTGGTCTGCCTTTAGCATCCTTCCTTATCCAGCAGGATTACTTGGATTGGCAACAGGATTATTTGGATACAGGATTATTTGGATACAG